TTTCTGAATTTTTAAAATTTAGAAATTAAAATTTCTGATCAACGTGACGCCGCCCTAAATTTTAAAAATTTGGAAATTTAAATTTGTGGTCAACGTGGCGCTACCCTAAATTTCAGAACTCAACAAACGCCACTCATTCGTAAACGACAGTGAAGGAATATTATATTTGTATATAAATATGTATTAAACTTATTCTGCCCCATCTTCATAATTGACAGAAGAATTCAGTTATACTTACGGGCTTCTGTTCTTACCAAACGGAAAGACGAAGAATCTGAAACCTAGGAACCGTAACGGAAGCAGCCTTGACACATAGTGCATGTCTTTGTCGTCTTCATGCTTATAATCGCATAACAGCATCTTTACTGTATACGACACACTAACGGTGTTCTCTATTTGTAACAGAATATTCTTACGTAATAATTTCACAATCGATACACCTTATTCGTACTTTCTTCCATTGTTCCTTAAACATTAGAATGTTCATGCAGAAAGATGCAGTAAATGATAAGAGAGTGATTAATCGAGAAATGGGTAGTTTCAAGTTAAAAGTTAGGTTTAATACGATCAAGAGAATTAGCCGAGGGATCATTGATCCCGCGGATCAGTTGCGCAATGTGCACGACGATCCGAGAAACGAGAAAAGAGTAAGGGGTAAGGTTGCCGACGCGTAACTGGAGCCTACTTAGCCTTTAGAACCGAGAGATTATGGTTCTTGAAGTTGCGTATAATGATCATAATAAAAGCTACTGACATCGGTACGTTTCTACGACAAGGTCGACAATTGCGTCCACGCAATAGGTATTATGTGAGACGCGCATTTACGTGTCACACTTTGCCACGACCGGAAAGGATCGAAGGTGAGCGTGACACGAGTGGTGAACAGGAACGACAGGCTAAGTGTCCTGCGTTGAAAAGGAAGATCGTCGGTGACCAACATATAAATCGGAAAGACATTATTTTCAACCCCGCTGATGATGTAACCGCAGGAGTTGTACGTGATCTTACTCTTTTTTTTTCCGAGGATTCGTTTCGTGAATATTTTAGGTGATTTTTGAGTACTCTGAGAAAAGTGAAGATTGGTCTAGTCTTTTCAAATTTTCAAATGTCCAAACTTTCAAATGTCCAAACTTTCAAATTTCCCAATATTCAAAGAATCAAATTTCCAAAGATTCAAACTTTCAAATATTTAAATTCTCAGATATTCAAATTTCCAAATATTCAGACTATCAAATATTCAAATTCTCATATGTTCAAATTTCCAAATATTCAAACGATCAAATATTAAAATTTCCAAATTTTCAAAGAATCAAATTTTCAAACATTCAAATTCCCAAACACTCAAATCTGAAGTATGTTAATAGAATCCCTGACTTATTGTACGATACTCCACGTTCGAACGTAAAGGATACATCAGCTAATAAGAATCGGAAATGCCACGGTAAAAGTGGAACGAACGTGACAATGAAAACGTAAATGACGAACCTTCCAGGCATGTTTTGCCGGATCGTAATTAGCCGTAATTAACGTGTATCTGTCGTGTTATGCTGCCAGTCTAAATCTTACGTCTGACAACCACGAGGAATTCCACTAAAACGTTTCTTCCGAAACCGGAAACAACGTGGTGGAAGCCTTTTCTGTGCCGTTGCAAAAGAGACGATAAAAAAAAAAAAACGTCGGCGTGGCAAAAAGGATCTCCTCGATGTGTTTTCTCGGCGTCGTCAGACCATCGCGAATGGTTACATTCCACGTCTGTCCGCCAATAATTACGCGTGTAGAACATAGAACGATGCGTTACATAATCACCTTTTGTTTCATGGTTGAAGTTTTAGTCAGATAACTTCTGACAAATTAATACCGAAATAAATCCTCTTAATTACCTGAAGATTTTCACATGATTCAATGTTGCACGAAAGACTGCAGAATCTACAAACACCATTAATCCGAATGCAGTACACAAAATTACAAGAATTACACAGAAAGTGAATCGTTCAATTTTTCTTTTTCTTTCATTTTCTAGGAATTATGCAACCGTCCGATATTCGTCAGCGATACACCTGCACAGTTCGACGTAATACCCGGGAAAATGGGTAAGTTTAAATACCATTTACTTTTACACACCACAATTTCAAGTGACAATTTTTTGCGTATCGTCGATATTGTTGCATAAATTGCCTCGAGTTGGTTGAAAATCAGGGCAAAAAGGTTTCCATAGATAAAACAAGCGTGAAAGAAGTGGAGAGACGTAACGAAAACTAGTCGTTCCGGTTTAGCCTTGCCGCTTTTATCCTTCTTTGCCGAGCGCAACAGAATCCCCCGCGATAAAACCTAATGATACGGCTCACGTGTGCGCGCGTGTTCCCACAAACCTGTAAATCACTTTACCTTGGCCGGTTCCTTAATACCGAGCTAAGGTTAACGGAGTTTAGCGTATTTTATTCAAACGCTTCCTATCCTTTCGGCTGACATTAACATACAATGCTGTATATATGTACGAAATTGAAATTCGCCTTATTTCTACATGTCGATACTTCAACGTACTTTATATTCGTGTTATTCGTTCCCAATAAGGAGCACGATTTTATTAGAGAAAATTTATAAAACAGACACGCATTTCTTTCTCCCATTATGGAATATTTTATGGTTTCGTGACACCTTCGAGACACTTTCACGCCTTTCGTGTACACACGAGATCGTCGTTATTCGTCGGTTAACATTCAACGTTACCTACTACCGATATGAAAGTACGAAACGGCGATTCTCTTCTATCGAACGACCTCGAAATCAGGCGAACCCTGAAAACGGTTTCTAGTAACCTCTGACGAACGTGGGAGATAAAGCGTGGTCGTTTCCACGGACACCATGGGTTGGATCGAATTGTTACCGATCGAGCCGACTTTCTTCGGGAGACTGTGCAGGAGAGCTAACGATCGAAGTAAACGTATCGATACTGTCGATATTTAATTAACGAATAACTACAGCACGGTATTGTGTGATAATCGTACCACCGGTCACTTCGTGAGTCTCTATTTTTGCGTCACTGCGAAAGAATGTGGAAGTCAGTGGTTCTCAATACGGGTAATATCACTCACACTGTCGTACCGGTTGGAATCGAAAGGCGTCAGTTTGGGTAGAGGAGACACGGTTTTCGAGGGTCGCAGCCCGCCTTTCTAGTTTGCCGAACGAAGGCAAGGACAAGGAATAAAAGATAAGGATGAAACAGCAGCGTTTTTATTTTGAACTTTTTCTGTACGAAAATTACCGTATCCGGTAGGATTGAGAATTTTCGATACGTCGAATGGTCCACCGATGACGACCGAAGTGAGACGAGGCAATCGTTATTTTATGGAAGAGATAAAGAAGCCGTGATACATATTCTATATATAAATAATAGTAAATGGAATGCTAATCGGTTACTTTCAATCTTGAGAAATTTTTAGTAATTCTCAGTATTGTTGGAATTGGTTATTCGGTTAATCGTGAACTTACCTACAAACAAAGTTACCTTACTAACAAATTTAGGAGTTAACTGTATCTTTCTCGTCTATTTCAAAGAAATTCAATTTTTATCAATCTCCAAAATTTTCCCACCAGCCAACCCCTATTTCAATTTTCACTTCACCCAATTCCACGGTTCAGAAAAAGAGAGAAACACTTTCCTCCTCGAAATTTCTCTTCGAACTCACTCGGCATCTCTGAACCTACTTACAAAATAGATCGACAAAGTTCTCAATATTCATTCGAAAATGAACTTCATTCGCACCGTGCACGGTACACTTTCGTGCCTGTACATTCGAACGAAATAAAAATTTCTCTTTCAAACTATACAACGCACGCGATCAATTTCTATCTCCGCTACACGTAACGCGACACGTGTTAATGCCTCGAAGCCGTGAAACAGCAGGATCCTGATTGCCGCCGCGATCCCATCGACTCTGTGTGTCCTATTCACGGAGCCGGAGGAATTACGACGAAGGTGCGCGCGTTAGGAGACGACGAGAACGTGGAATGCATCGCGAACTTAATCTCCGTCCCCATGGGGAGGTGGCGGCGGTGTAATTCACGAGAGTCGCCCGTCGTCGTTGGACGGAAGTCGAGCGATCCGGGAATTCGTGCAGGCGCGTTTCACGAACGACGCGTTCACAGCACCGTGTCCCGTTAGCGTGTGCATAAATACGTAAGAACACGCGCAGGCGAGCGGTATAACGACGACACACGTGATCATTTTTTTTCGACCTACATTAAGACCATTCGAGTTGCTCCTCTTGTGATTCGGCTTGACGCTTGAAACCAGGTGACTCGAGTCCGGTGTGACACACGGCTAACTTATATCCTTAGATAAATCTCCTTTTAACCGTGTTCTTCGTTTACACTTCGGGCTTTCTTGTTGCAACGGGGTGGACCGCGTGAAACGGGCCACCTAATTAGCTTCTGCGACAGTTGTAGTGGTACCAGACAATTTTTACACGAAACTTGAAATTGTTTCGAAAGGTGAACAAGATGGAAGAAAATTTGTTTTCTTTAAAAGATGCACATTTTATTTACAATTTTTTTGGGTCCAAGGTTGCGTTATTGTGCATGTTTAAATGGACACCAATGTGTGCTACAACTTGCAGTAGGAAAGAATTAATACATTCGTGTAAAAAAACATGGGTGACCTTGAAAAAGAAACAGAAAAACTGGAAATTACAAAAAAATTTGTCTTCCATCTTGTTCACCTTTTGAAACCATTTAAATTACATTGAGATAAAAATTTTCTTGTTCCACTATAGGGAAGATAATTAGGTGGCCTATTTATGTAGCCCACCTTGCATACGATTTTTGGAGGAGTTGTTAATTGTTCGTGAAAGTGACAGTGTGAAGTTATATTTTTAGATGAACATGGTTTAACTGCTTTTGGTTTCTTGTGCACTTTTGAATGGATCATGTAATGAGTTTTATGTCGTAGTATTTGATTTAGAATGTTGGTTGAATGTTTCGTATCCAAAGTTCGAGAACCAAATTCGAGGGACACTGGAGAAAAGAATCGCAGACATTCTATTCATCCTTGTTCATTCGAATAATCAAGACACCTTTTTTCCGCTCTACAAGCGCTGACACACATGTTTACCGCCTAATGGGAAAAAACGTAGCCATGAACGAACGCGACCGTGGTAACAATTATTTGAACGTTTAATAAGTGCAAGCAAGCCAGGGCCCCGTTGAGAGAAGCCGTTAAAGCGGAAACAATAGTTACGCGATTTCTGTTACGCTTTATAATTACGATTTGTTGTTTTCTCGCTGATTATCTCTATCTCTCTCTCTCGTATTTCCCTATTGCCAAGGAGAAAGCCGGTTCTTCGTTCCCGTTCGTTTCGAATCACTTTCGCGCGGTTTGCAAATTAAATGCGCGCAACGCTTCAACGAGATCACGAATACACTCTTGAAACCATAAAGATCCAACGGTTGAGTCAATAAACCTCGGCGAAAAAGTGTCTGAAACTGGTGATTGCACAATATGTTCGTCAGCACTTGACACCGTTGTCAGCACACGAACTGAACGAAGTCGAGTGCAGGCAGCTTCAAGTGCAATTACAATGGACACGTTTTCTTCGCGAGCATTCTCTCTCTCAGAACTATCCGGTTCGAAGCGACAGGTTCGTTGGTCGTGCAGAAATATTTGTTTACCCGCAGAAAACTGGACACCGGTTGCAGCTCATCTGTAATCGTTGCGGTGGAGAGAACCTGGTCCCTGTCCCCGTCGTCGAAGCCGCTAGTGAAAGTGGATCGGTGCACACACTGTTTGAATAGAGACGCACAATTGCATAGAAGCTGGGGAGAAATTTTGGGGACCCAAATGGAAATCGAACGTCGGCGACTTTTGTCTGATAAACTGGGAATCTGTGCAATTTCTTTTTTTATTCATTGTTTTATCGATTGCCAAGGATTATACAGGTTTACATCTTCAGCCTTAATGGCTATTTATGCTCTCGTAGACTAGTTCATTGGTTTCGCTTAGATTTTGATATTCTTTGGTGTTTTTCTTGGTTTTTATTTTTTATTCACTTCTGCGCCCAAAATAAAGATAATTTTTGGCTTTGCAAAAAATGGCGCGTAAACTCCGCGTACTATGTCCCGCGTCCTATTTAGGGGCCCCGATCTCTCACTCGGCCATTCCTGCGCTGACATTCGCCTTCGAGTGTCCTACTCTAATTTTAAGCGCACTGTACAATTACCGAATGGCACTTAGTCGAAATTTTCTATTTCCCTCAATTCTTCCTTGGAAGACGTACGACCCTTTAAATTCGACCTATATCAACATTGTTCCATAATTCAACGTTTTAACGCGACTTCTCAACGTTCTGGTAAAACTTGTAATTCTACCGCGACACGAAACGTGTTAAAGAGAAAATCAACCCACTCCCAAACTGGCTACGATATTTTTGCCCGGCCCATGTGTCGCAAGTCCATTTTCCCCTTGTAATTCGCGGTAATTCCGAGGCGGTTCTTAACGACGGTTATTTTTAGCGAATTACAAAAGCTAGCCGATCGATCGTATTTTTTATGGTTTTAACAAGCACTCGAACCGGTCGCGATTTTCATTCCTTCGAAATGCTCGACTTCGGTTTCTCGGAAGTATTATAGAATAATTAAACAGCTAGCAGAGCGTTGCGTAACGATGCTCTTCTCTCCTTTTTCTCTCCTTCGTCTTCTCCGTTCGAATAGAGAGGCGAACGTGAGAAGGCGCGAATAAAAAGAAGGAGAGACGTTGAAGTTATTCGATAAATTATGGAACGTGGTCTGATTTCTTCAATTCACGCCGATGAACTTCGCGGAGAGAAATGGATTCTTAATGTTTCGCCCCCACACTAATAGAGACCGGCCGTGTCGTAACGTCGTGAGAAAGATATTTTCTTGGTTCGTACACAGGCGTATATGTATATACAAACCGTTACCACTACGGTTAACTATCGTTTTCGAAAGTTTAAACACCTGATCACGTTGCTTATTAAGCATTTCGCTGTTTAATCATGGGATATAGAGAGAAAGAGAGAGTTCGCCGGTACGGAATTTATTTGCACGCGCTAATACCGTTTTACTTTCGATAATTATTTAGCATTTTCTCGGTTAGGCTCTACGAAAGGAAATGATTCGAGCGTAACGGATAATTGCCAGGAACAATGCAATTACAAAGGCTTCTCGTGACTTTGTAGCTGATTAATTAACGATAATAGTAAACAGCTCGGCGGCGCAGCATCTGCTTAATCAGATGCAATTAATTTCGATTACAATAGTTTGTTTCGCATCTGTTTAACTTTGGTGTACGAAGGAAGGAAAATGTTCGAATCGTGGGGGGGAAAATTCAGCGGTAATCTCGTTAAAATTTCGCAAAACACTACCTTCTCCGCCTCTCATTGTTTATTACAAAGTATCCATCTCCGTAGATTAATTTACACATAACACCTCGTTCCTAGTCAGTAAAAGTTCATTCAGTTAAAAGAGAATACCGACGTTACCTCGTTACTTATACAAAACTCTCTGGTATCCTTTTGTTTCTGCTTACATAACGAATGCGTATGATTGCTGGGATATCTCGTTATTAGGTGGCTAGGAAATAACAAAGTTCGGCGCTGCGGATAGTGTAAATTACACTCTGTGCCACTTAAACGTGTATAATTATCTGACTGAACCATTTAACTGTGGAACACTTCAAAAAAAAAGGATCATAAATTGCGATGTGACGGTATTCGACAGATTGGTATAACAGATATACCGGATATTTCATATATTTTAAAAAGAATTCCAATTTTTTTTAGCAATACACAATTTTTAACTTTGACAAGAAAAATTTTTTCAATTTTCTCAGAAGACGTTCCAAACGTGCATAATTATCTGACTGAACCATTTAACTGTGAAATACCTACTTAAAAAAAAAGCATCATAAATTACGATATTCGACATATCAATGTAACAAAAGTACTTGTTAACACACAAACATAATTCACAAATTGAACTTTCACTTCATAAGAAAAATTTTTCGAATTTTCTCAGAAGAGGTTTCTGAACTTCCCCTTTAATTTCCACATCGATTAAACCTTAACTCACGTTGCCCTCTCGTTACTCAGGTGACAAATGGCTGGTCTCCTGCCTGGGCGTTCTTCACCTGAGCAAAGGACTGTTCTACAGGGTGGTGCCAGCCGATCAAGGGTTCGGGAACATAGGAGAGCCGCCCGGATCACCGACCGCCGAGTACGCCGGGGTGTTCAGGTTCCGGTTATGGTGGTGCGGCGCCTGGGTCGAAGTTCTCGTCGACGACAGGCTACCGGCGATTCACGGACGGCTGGCTTTCGTGCAGAGTCGTCACAGTGATCAATTCTGGCCGGCTCTTCTGGAGAAAGCGTACGCTAAGTGAGTATCTTACCGCGGGAAGTGCTTCAACTCAAGAGCGCTCGTCGCTTATTTGTCTGTCACGTGAGCGGTCGCGCATGAGATTCTTTCTCGCGCCTCCTACCACGCTTGTCTTTACCTTGTGACGGAGATCAAGAGGACGAGATTGACTTAAGGTGTTCAACGTGAGATCGAAAGGAATTCTTTCCTTTTGTTGACCGTACTGTTTCGTGATGTGCACTTTCATTCGTGAGCCTATCGGGACACGAACAATTAAACGAACTAGGAAATTGGTAAAAGTCTGTAAGAATTATTGTTAACCCTAGAGCGGTCTTCGGGTCTTTTTTGACCCACCGCCTTTTTATATTTTTAGTCATTTCTATCGGGACACGAACAATTAAACGAACTAGGAAATTGGTAAAAGTCTGTAAGAATTATTGTTAACCCTAGAGCGCTCTTCGGGTCTTTTTTGACCCACCGCCTTTTTATATTTTTAGTCATTTTTGCTGTTATCAAGTTTACGTTTCTTAACATTATTTTAAACGTTTATTGTCCAGAAACATTGTTAGAAACAAAAATTATTACACATAGGGTCTCGGGTCCGTTTTGACCCAAAAGTCTTAAGTGTACAGTCGAAACGAAGAACGTACTAGGGTTAAGAGTGAATCACGTAACGTGGTCACGTTAAATAATTTTTTTATCAGTGGACCAATTGATATTTTTTTGGTGTCACATAATACGGTTCAAAAAGACCCTCGAAATGACTATAATAGATTTTTTTTGAAGTTTTTAAGGTCGCGTTCAATTTTTGTAGATGAGTGCAGATGTTGGAAAGAATTAAATAGCCACTCATTCATGAAAGACTGAAAGTGACCTTGAAAATTGAAAAGAAAAGCAAGTGATAGAAAGTGTATTATACCGTGATAATCTTGAGAGACACTTTGAACCATATTATAAGAAAGAAAAATTTGGATCGATCCAATAACAAGAGAATAATTTAAAGTAATCACTTGGTATACTCAATATTACAATAAAAACCTCACAAATAATGTATAACAAAATTAAATTGGAACTTTTAGTCCTAGTCGCGTGAATCATCCTATAAAACAGTGAATTTTCTTGGTATTATAGTAGGGAACATCCAATCTCCTTAAATGTTGAATTACGAAATAGTATGCATAAATTTTTATGGGATTAGTTGATACCGAGTGACTAGTTAATGCTTTAAACATAAATATCGCGAAAAATAAATGTTAGAAAACGTGTTTCCTTTCGGGCGTTATAACATCAAACAGGCCAATTGACCAGCCTCGATTGCACGCGATTCCTCGTAGGCGTTACAAGGCGGTGGCGATCGAGGTTCATCGATCGATCTGGCTAAGGTCGATCTTCGTGCTAACGCACCATGAACGTCCACCTGATGAACACCCACGCCACCCACCGGAACTTACAAGATCGACCCTGATGGTAGCGTGAAAGTTATCCGCTTATTTGCATATCCGTTCGTCCCACGGATCGTTCATTCTCGTAAGAAATTCGAAAGTCATTCGATTATCCGATACTTTCGGTGTTTTTCACGAAACAAAACGTAGTACACAAGAAAGCTCGTTGAAACCTTCTCCGAAAGCTATTAAAGACCTAAGAAAACTGGATATCGTTATGTAAAAACCAGTCTAATCGATGTCTCTTCTATCTGATTTATTCGAGTTGCAATTTCATTTCATACCGCAAAAATACGCACGTAGTTTGTCAAACGGATAAATCTGGAAGAAGAAGAATTGAATTTTCTAGAAGAAAAAGGAAAGTTGACGAGAAAAATCGTAATTCCTAAGGATCACTGGCAAATTTATCACTTCTAAACTACACCGTCGCCGTCGTCGGTGAGCGTTTTAATGGAAAGAAAATGACCGAGCGGTCTAACGGTTAGGAGATATGATCGGTAACGAAGCGGCGTGTAATCGAGCGATTCACGAACACGGTAAACGAACCGGACGTCATATCGCGTAGGGACAAGGAATTTATTCGCGGTGCCCGGCGAGATCTACGAAGCGGATCCACGCAACCGAGTAATGATTCCGCGCGCATCTCTTCTTCTTCCCTTCGCGGTGGAAGAAGACGCGTTTACGCGGACGAACGAACGAACGAACGACGATGACCGGTTTTGCCGGAGGTCCTTGCTCCTCCTCTTAATCTTTCCACTGATGACCGTTCCTCCTTCCTTCTTCTCTCCTTCACCTCGTTATCCGCTTCTTACTCCGCTTCCCTTCCACGGCTACTTCTCTTCGTCGTTTCTTGCCCGTCAGGGAACATAAGCTCTCTGCCTCTTGGTCTGGGCGTTGCTCTTGAAACGACTGCAGCAGCAGCAACGTGACGGCCTCGAAGAAGGAAGACGACCTCGCGGTACCTCGAAAAGAAGAGCACACGCGGAGGATCGGCGAGGTTTCCATCGCCGCCCTTTTTTTCCTTTTCTTTTTTATTCACCAGACCCACGGCCGTAACAAATTTCACCGGCGATAACGCGATATTTACATGCCCGTGAAGCGATACGGCCGCGTATTATGCATAGGCGCGCGTGCTCCAGCGCGAGAACACTTCGCCAGGTCGATCGTTGCGCCATTAAAAAGCGTAATGGAAGGACTTTTTTCTCTGGGGCTTTTAAACGCGTAGCGTAAGTAAGGCTTAATAGAGGGAATTCCAATGGCACGTTCTTCGAATCGCGCCACGTGAAAGTAACTCACTATAAATATCTTTGTTCTGTTAATATAAATATCCGGATGGTGTTCTTCGTGTATTAAAAATATCGGAGGAAGTTGAGTACAACGTTACGAATTCCTTCTTTTTCTTTTGGCAGATAAAACGTGGATAATTTGTCGATGCTCCCGCAGAAAATAGTTTCGCTTCTCGCGGTACGGTAAACCGAGGTAACCCGGAGATTTCAATGCCCGGACAAGCGATACCGCTCTATGATTTAGAATCCTAATCCTCGCGCGGATGTTATTCAAATTTCTTCAATCGAAGAATTTATCTTGTACAACGACAAATTGCCAGGATTATGGAAATGGTGAATTTTTAATTAGCTCGATCCGCGGAGAAACGTTGTGTGAAATAAAGAAACACGGAAATCGACGAAATTCCGATGTGCGTTCGCTCTCGGTGATATTCGCTGAAATGTTGCTCAATCGAGCAGACACGGATTCCTATTAACGCCACGAGTTTACGTTTTACCTGTTCGAGACGGGAATTTATTCGACATTTTCGATCGCGACAGAAATACCGTCGTCGAATCAAACATTCGGAGTTGATCTTTTCGATTATTCGAGGGCAGATAATCGGCCAGTTCCTTCGCTCAATTTCTACACTCGTTCAATTTTTTCCCCACAATTACTTACGTGTCAAACAGGTTCCTAAAAGACTGTGCGTGCTCGAACGCTTAAGGGAAACGCACGCAACACACAAGTATCGCGGTTTAACGATCGAGAAACGCGGCTCGTTATAATTTCATCATCAAACGGCGCTCATCTTGCGTCACAATGGTGAACTGTAAAGTACATGTCTCTGTATGCATGTGTGTATACACGCGTAACAAGAAATTGTCGTGGTCGCGTTTCGTTTTGCCAGGTGAAAGCAGAACAAAAGAGATCGAACCTGGTAATTTGAACATCGCGAAATCATACCGCGAACATTAAATAACCGATTATGTATGTATATTATAGTTTTCATACGTGACACCGTTATAACACACACACACACACACACACACACACAGAGCCGTAGGATTGTTGTTGAATGTTTAAAATCGAAAGTGAGCACATTTCGCAACTCTCGAGGGACACGTGAAAATTTATTAAATCGCGAGGTCACGAGGGTTGATCGCAAAAGAAGAACGCATAAATTTCCCCGGTGAATTCGCACAGCTGCTCGTTTACCACCATTCGTCGAGATTTCTTCTCGATTAATTCCAATTCTCCTCGAGATCGCGTCCACAACGAAGAAGAAGAAAAAAATGAAAAAGATGAAGAGGAGGAATAAAAACGCGAACGTAATATCGTCGTGGCTGTTCCCGTGCCGTTTTGTACGCGGCAACGATTACATCGGTCAACAGCTTCTGCAAAGGAATCGAGGTCGGGATTCATTAATAATTGATCACGCGTTGCTGTCTCCCGATGACTTCCGTTCGCCGTTGAACGCGCGCACGATGCAGACGATTAACGCTGTGAATCGCTCGAAATCAACGGCTACCATCGGTTCGATTGTGATCGAAAAACGACGTTTCTGCCTCTGTACCGCAGATATGTTAATTGGCCATTGTACGACGGTGTGAGAAGATTGCCGCGGCAACCTGTTTTTGCCGGTTGCGACAAAAGTCCCGATGCGTTGTGTATTCATTTCTTCCGACGACGATCATCAATTTTCGCTCGTCCGCCACGTCATTGGACACAGCAATTTCAGCGGGTACGGAATGTAATTGTACGAATGATTGTACGGTAGGGAAAAATAATTGACGCTGTGCTGCTGGTACGGTAAACGTTTATTATTCCCAACGTTGCACCGAAATCTCGCGGTTCTTCTCTTCTCTTCGTTTCTGTCCTTCGAACTTGAGAACTACGCGAGGCTGGAAAAGAAATCGCGTTGCGGATTAAACACGAGTAAATTCACGTTCTGGTAAATATAGAGGAAAAAAGAGAAGCGTATTAGCAGGAGAGAAACGATGACATTTATATATTACAGATTTTCTTGTAATTACAGCGATACTCATCTGTCTAAACGAACCGTGTCTAACGAAGCCTTTTTCTTTCTACGGCTAATTTGAAATTTGCAATTTTCACAGAATCGATGGTTATCTTCCATCTAACATTGACCTGAAATTCGATGCTTTTTCACTTAGAGGTGGATCAAGATTTTTCATTCGAAATTCATCAATTCTGACGATTTTTGACGACGTCGAGGATTAGCGTGTGTTCCACGCGTTCCGATTCGACGAGTTCTCCATCGGCGGGAAAGAGAGAATCTCACCGATGACACACTTCTTTCAACGAGGAAAGGTAGAGAGAATCGTTTCGTCGTCTGACCTCTCTAGTCTTTCACGATAACCCCCTGTCGCGTATAGATCCCATCGATCCGGAACATACGTCGTATCGGGAGTCTTATTAATCGAACGGCTGTATTAAAATCAGTTAGAAAGCTCGGCAGATTCGCGTGCCAGCGCGTGCAACCGGCTAACGAAAGAATTATGCTGGACGCGCTTCTCCGACGATTTCCATTAGAAAACCACTGGCTGAGCACACACCAGCCGCATCGTACCTCAACCAGCAACTATAGCATAGCTGAATAACGCGTAATGCGTTCAACGTGTACCTCCGGACCTACAATGAAACGCGCTCTATCTTTAATTACTCCGGCAATTGCAACGATCTCGCAATTAATTGTTATCGCCTGTGTAACAACACCGATTTCGTTTCTCCGCCGTAGACGATATGCCCGCGATAACACGAAGAAGTATCTTCTTTTTATTATACTTCAGCATTTTTACTCTGTCGTTTCGTAGTAGCTTAACGAGAGAGAAGAAGGATTTTTTTTTAATTACTTCGCTGAGAGATAAGACAAGAAGAGAGAAGCTCGAGTGGAAATGTAGAAGAGAGAGAGAGAGAGGAAAATTCTTCGAGATACTTTCTTCTATGAGACAGAAAGACGGCGGGAGCGTATGTATAACTTAGTGATTCATCGTGTTAATATTTCGCGGAGAGAGAAGAAAGAAAAATGGCGGAGAAGTGGAGGGCCATTGGTTTTAGGGCGCGAGCAACGAGAAATCAGAATTCGGCATAGCTTCGGGATACGCCGGTATGCCGGGCTATATTCGGCGCTGTATATTTGTGCACGCACATGCCAGCCATGGGTATACTAAGCAAGTATATCCGCGGATACTTTCACTCGACGAGTAGTCGGTTCGTTGGTTGCCAGCAATGGATCGGAGGTCAGTGCACTGGTGACCACAGTCCACGTTCGTATCTGCGGCCACGAAACTGCTACAACAACGTGCCACAGCTAATGGAGGCTCGAAAACGAGCCTCATTAGCAGTTTATCCACCTATCTGATTATTGAATGCCGAAATATCGTTGGGTTATGAGCTGTGTGGAAGGCTCGCGAAGATATGATTCCCTCGTTTCTGACGGATCGTTTCAGTGTTGAGGTCAATTGAAAGGAAGAACGGGGTTTAATTGTGGTAATGTTTCAATCGTATCGTACGTTCAGCAAGTGTGTTTAAGATTGATTTTGTAAGTCTAAGAGATATGTGTTTTGTAAATCGTTGTGCACGAGGTGATGATTGCCACTGAAAAGACCGCAAATGACATTGCACATCCGCATGTGACTTCATCACCCCGTTAGATGGTCACGGGACGGAAGTACGTCAATGGCAAAGACTCGTGTTACCGTTCACTCACAAACTGACAACGGTAGTGTTACATAGCCGGCAGGGTGCTCGGGCAAAGGTGCGGTGACCCTTGCGACAACTTCCACATGCCATTCTATCTGCCATTACATCTTTCACTTTAACTTTAATTCAATGTCTTCGCTATACTTCCGCTAAAATCTCTTCCTTCAAGCCGTACTAATGTAGTACTAACGAAAATACTTCAATTCATATACAATATTCCACAGAGACTTCGTTGTACATTTTTCGAAGCTCCGTTTGAAAATTGAAGTACACCCGGTATAATGTTTCTAACGAAAAATAGTTCGAATAGGGTCGTGTTTGGGCTCATTTTTATCAGAAGAGCCTCGTCTATGTATCGGTATTATTTTCACGAATATACAATGAAAAATACAGAAATGTTACTCACGAAACGCGATACCAGTCGAAGCGTGAAGGCTGGCTGAAACGAAACGTTGTTAAACAGTACGGCTAACCCGAGGACTACTGTAATTCAATAGCCATCAAAGGCCAAACCCTTCATTTCCGCGAAACGTGATTCGATCAGCGAAATAGTCCCGATCATTACCCCGTTAACTCGTCCCGCTCCAATCTACCATTCTGTTGGCCGTGGACCAACAGCAGCCAGTCCCTTCCGCCCAGCCACACTTCCGAGTCGCTGCTCTTCCGGCAGTGGTAAATTGCGGGCACACGCCGAATCCGAAAGCCGTAGCGGGCACAATTGGAAAATGAATCCGTTGCACTCGCCTTCCCTGAGAAAATACCCATGTGACTGGCCTGAAGCGGTGCGTGTGAATGGTTACGGTTTAGAGATTAACCTACGCGCGCTTTGCGCGAAAGCTCGCTATCTAGACGGGAGCGAGCGGACGCTGAAGCGTCGGCGTTACTAGGACGAGGCGGCCGAAGAATAGAGAGGGAGTGAAAGAGAAAGAGAGGACAGAGTGAGAGTAAGAAAGAAGAGAAGAGAGAGGGAGAGAAAGAAAGAAGAGAGCATGAAGGGGGAGGGAGAGAAAGAGAGAAGACAGAGAGAGGAGCCCGTTATCTAGAGGAGGCTAATTCCCGCAGGAGCGCCACGCCACAGCCGCGTACGACCAGATAAGATCGCCACTTCTCGCGATTTCCTTATCAGTTCACGACTGCGATCTCGCCTTTCTATCTTTGCCCGATGATTTCCGAGACGAAAAGCCCGCGGTTGAAAGGCTTAATCAAGTCGTTTGCGTCGCGGAACAAAAGCCCCACACGACGGTAGCTGCGACGAGTGAGATTAACGAGCCAACCTGGCTCGACTTTTTTCCCGGTAATCGACGAGGAGGAGAGCCCCGCGTGAAATCACGATCGTATACGTCGAGCTGGCGCTCCATCGTCGTCGAGACGACGAGAAGGTCGTAGGTCGAAAAATCCCAGACATCCGCTTTCCCTGACTGGAGGAGCTGGTCTAATGGGTCTTTGAAAAAGACGCTACACGTACATACATAGTACATATATGCCTAGTTTTCTCCACGATTTGATCGGCTACGTGACTGCAAGTATCCGCAGTTCTCGCTGGAATTAAACGGATAGGATAAAATACGATTTTCCAGGCACCTCTTGACCCGACGTCACAGGAGATAATTTATCAAGAGAGTTACCACGGAACGGAGAAACTGATTTTCTTTTCTTTTTTTTCTTTCCATACGTGTTTCAGACTGCACGGTTCGTACGAGGCTCTCAAGTATGGAACACTGTTGGACGGTCTGTCTGATCTCACCGGTGGAATCACAGAGAGTATCGCTATACGACAAGATCCTACCGCCTGCGGACGTGTCTTGGGAAAACTCCTCGACATGACATCCCTCATCACGTGTACAGTAAATAACAATCAGCAGCAAGTAAACTATACTTGATTTCTTTCTATATTTTTTCTGAAATTTCGAAATATTAGAGATCTAATTCGACGATCGTTCGTTTGTCTCGTAGATTCGTGCCAGTACGGAGAAACTAGCGAATGGTATTCAAATGGGCATCAACTACAGGCTGTACGCTATTGAAAGGGTAAATACGAGGAAGAGTAATATTCCGTTCGATGATCTTATAGTTCATTTCGACCTATATTTCACGATGGTGATCGTTGCGTAAAATGTTGCAGGTGGAGACGTTCAACGGCGAGGCAGTTCAGTTAGTAAAATTAAGAAATCCTCTTGGACCAGGTAGGGAGTACGTCGGAGCTTGGGCGAGAGGTGGCCTCGAATGGGACGAAGTACCACCGATGGAAAGGGAACGTTTGGCGGTCAGAAACATGGCCGAAGGGGAATTCTGGTGAGCTAATTTCAATAATTTCTCAATTCATAGAGTAGATTCTTTTTTTTTTTCATTTTTTTAGTATTTATATTCTTAACTTTGCAGTTACACGTGTAAATGTTTTTTTGTGTTTTGCACGGGATAAGAATTGGAATAAGAGTTAACAAATGGAAACGTAAATTGTAGGATATCGTACTCGGATTTCGTGAAGACATTCACTCATCTAGAAGTCGTACATCTTGATGCTGAAACGTCGAGGGATGAGCCGTCGTTGCATAGCAAACATACCTGGCAAATGAAACTCTATCAAGGCAGCTGGAGGAGAGGCGTGACCGCGGGAGGATGTCGAAACAATGAAGGTTCGTCCGCGGTTTACCCCAATAACGAGCGTTTTAAACCGGAAATCCGGTAATACGTAATGTGACCGCCTGTTAAGATTACAGCTGCCTTATCCACTTATGGATGGATCTGTGTTACAGAAACTTTCCATATTAATCCGCAACTACACCTGATTCTAAGCGAAGTGGAGGAAGTAATTGTTTCATTGTACCAACACTCTATCATGGAGATCAAAGTAAGAAACGTTTCTCGTATTTGCGTACATTCTGTACATTTGGAGACTTCTTAATAACGCTGATGATATTTTAACTATACTAAAGGTGATAGGCTTCACAGCTTATACTTTACCGAAGAACAGCACGGAGTCGATAAACAAGCAATTTTTCAAGAAAAACAAATCCCTGGTGAATTCACAGTACACTAACAGTCGTCAAGTTAGCCACAGATGTCAATTAGATCAGGGTGGTTATTTGCTGGTACCTACAACTTTTGAACCCACGCAAGAAACGAGTTTCACGTTGAGAGTTTACAGTAGTAAACCTTTAAAATTGAAGTATGTATAATCTTCAATTTGGCAATGTTGAAATATTATTCTGAAATATAATTGTTTGTATAATTTCGTTAGACTTCTCGATACGCCACCGTCCTTAATGAAATCGGCCATCATCAAGGCACCACCTCTGGAAGGTAAAGGTTTTTCACAATACGAAGCTGTCTTCTTGCAGCTTGCTGATGAACATAGGACAGTGAACGCTTTTGAATTGCAAGAACTTTTGGAGGCCTGTTTACCGAATGGTAAAGTTTCGCATTATTTAAAATTGTAATAAAGAATAAGTGAATGAATTTCTTTGAAATTATTTAATGAAACACTTTCATGTTCCACGTATAGATTATATAAAAAGCTGTGCTTGTATGGAAGTATGCCGGCAAGTGGTTTTGACGATGGATGTATCCTTGAAATTGATCGCTTTAACATTTTTTTAACTTTACTTCCGTTGAAATTTACTTGTTTTCCTTAAATTAACATCAACATAGAGTTCCGGGAGCGGTCGATTGAAATTTAACGACTTCAAGGATCTCATGTGTAGTTTAAAATACTGGCAAGCAGCATTCAAGAACCACACAAAGGAAAAGACCGGTATACTTAAAGCGGAACGATTACGGGACGCGTTACTAGAAGTGGGTAAGTTGGCCTTTATCGTTGGTTGGTGGTACCTTACCAACATCGCAATTTTAACTCACGAGAAATATTTATTTTAGGATTTCAATTGAACACGGATGTTCTTTCGATTTTAATTCTTCGATATATGAGAAAAGATGGAACTCTGAGATTTGGAGATTTTGTCTCGGCAATACTTCACTTGAGTGACGCATTTGGTATGCTTTAAGTCTTTGTCCCTTCTACCTTTGTCGTTTGTGCATGCTAATATTTAGTTTTATTTTAGGAATATTCGAAAGTAAAGATCCTTTACAAAATGGGACAATAAAGTTAAGCTTAACTGAGGTATATAACGCATTGTATTTTATTTAATTGATGAATTTAATCGAAAAAATACATAAACAATTGTATAAAACATTAATATTTACTTTCAGTGGCTCAGATCATCTCTGATGTGCTGAATTCACTACTCAACGTAATGTGTGTACCTTGAAATATCTGTAAATAATGTTTTGTACGTCGTATATAGATCTAAGTTTTAGCCATATTAACGGTTAACGATCGAATCCATTTTTTTGCTGTTTGTAAAATAATATCATTATCCCCGCCATTAGCAATCATCATTCCTTCATCTGATTAAACATTATAAATGACTATGTATAATATGTTGTTTGTATAAGAAATTCGTACTGGATAATAAAGTTAAATTTATTTTGTACAGTCCCTTTATCCAAAATATGTAATTGTTCATTTGTAAATAAACGTATAGCCAAGGTGTATATTTTGAAGTATGGCTTATTATACATACAATAAGTTGTACATGAAATAAACATAGAATATAAACTTTATTTAAAATAAAAAAAATTTTCACTAGAAAGTTACCTAGAAAATGTTTTAATTAAAGCTACTAAATAATATTAAATATATAGTGTTGCTAATTTTCCTACCATAAGTGTTATTTTATATGAGATTAAGTTGGCATATAAAATTTATTTAGCTGCTGAAAAAACGCACACAATGGCATATAAGAATCGTACCTTGCAAAACCTTATATGCATATGTACTGTGCACGCGCATGTATAATGGCGTTCCTTTCATTAATAAATACTTAATATTTCAAGTTTTATAAAAATAATGCTAAGGTGGTTATTACAACGTATATACAGTATTCAACGTACGATTAATATACAATTAGTAGAAATACTGCTTAGTTGGAAAGTGTCACATCACAACTAATGACGTGGATATAGGTTAGGTTATGCAGAACGTTACAATTCTTACCTAAACCATACCAAAATACTACTACAAAAGTAATTCAAACGTTTATCATTAAATACAAATCATAAATAATGTTTGAAGTCTCAGATACGCAAAGTAAGTAATATATAATTTATTATTTATAAAAAAAGCTTTATATTCCTTTTCCTTGGTGTCATACTAATCTTTGATAAGGGCCTTCTTGCTATTGGAAACGTAAGATTTGTTCTTATACACTGTATAAGCTTCAGTAGTGTACCCTGTATCATTCTGAACTAATTGTTTCTATACAGATTTTATTTATATCTGGATTATCATGTGTTATTGGACCAAGGAGAACTCTGAGCTTTTTTTTCCAAAGACATAAGATAAAAGCCAGTGCTTCATTTTTAGGAGGTATTATTGTAGTACTTATGGGTTGGCCTATTGTAGGCATGATCATAGAAACGTATGGTTTTATATTATTATTCAGGTGCATATTTATAATTTATTTTATTATTAAATATTTACTCATTTATACATGTGGTAGATTAAATTTCTAATGCTATGTTAATTTTACAGTGGCTTCCTCCCAGTTGCTATAAACGTTTTACGAAAAGTACCTGGTCTGAGATTTATTTTAAATATGCCAGGTATATCTCGAATTGTAGATTCAATTGTAGGAGATGCAAATAGAACAACTGTATGATATGTTTCTTAATGTTATCGCTCAAATCAATGTATATAAGATCCACTATTTTATATTACATCCCAAGCTTTCCTGTCATTCCACAGATCTCTTTTTGTATTGTATAAATATCTAATGTCAGCAGCAAAGTTCAATTACCTCCCCTTCATTCTACTTAGGAATGTTATGTATAGAATAGATTTCTCATTTTCATATAAATTGATGTATTATTATCAGGATTGTATGTGTGTCTTTAAAAGCATTCCAAAAAGTTTACCTTAGACAGGATGGAAATCAAAATTTCAAAAAGAATGTTTATTTAAAATCATTAATTTACTGTATCAGTAGATTAATAATGTTAAAAGTAAGTGTTTTAGTTTTTATTTGGAGTGTTTGTAATAACGAAACGTATGAAACATACGAAATGTGTAACATGTACTGAGTGTCACTATTCCTTCAGAAAAATATAATTTTACTATATAAGAACATATATCATTTATTTATTTACCTAATAAATGAATACGAGATAATTCAGATAATTACCTTATCTTACATAGTATTTTCTTATTGATGAATGAATATCAAATAATGAAAGAGAACAAACTTAAGATAAAAATAAAATCGACGTAGGTTTGAGGTACGAAAGAATACTATAAGAAGTTTTATTATCGCTTTTATTGATTTTGTCGTTTTTTTGTGCACGCATCCTAACATGAACACATTGGATGCATACACTCACAAGTAACGTTTCTCATTATCTTACACGTAGTTGTTTTGAGTGCGAAATTAAATTATTGTTCACTGAAACTCGATGAACTTCACTGATATCGTTAATATGACCATTTATTAATTATCTACAATGGGCCGAGAGTTAGGGCGGGGGGCGGCCCAAGTCTACGCGCCCCGCCATCGCCGTAATGATATTTCGTCGCGCGTCCCTTCTCTTGCTCAATTGTATACGCTTGTTTTTATGATTTTTCTCTTTTTTAAATAATTATTTTGACTACTTTATGTCTCGACCATCGCCTACATAGTCACATGTATTAAACATTTCATATATCCATCATGCTGTTAATTCCACACTCTTAATTTCTCAGATACATATAAGTATATCTTTCTTTGTTCTCCCTTATGAAAATGGAATATGAAAATAGCACATGTGATCCACTGCAAGAAAATACTGAATCCGGCAATAAATTAAGCGAATTCTCTTCTACAGTCAAGATACTTATTCTGCCGAGTTTCATGCAATTCACAAGTTGCTACCAAAAGACCAGTCTAAACTGTTTTCAAATTTCTCGACAGCCTGTATACTGTTTCAGTCTGGAAATTACTCGATCTGATAACTGCTGTTACGTCGGATGGTGAGGGTAATAAAGATGGTACTTGCAATTGTAGTTGTGAAGGTAATGAGGTGAAGTTTGTTATAATGTCTTAAAGGAGATTCTTAATTTCATCATAAAGTACCAACACGAGCGCACCACCAGTACCACGGAGAATGTTGGAGAATGCTCCCTTGAAGAAAGCATTGGTACCTTCTGTCTTATAAATAGTGGCCCAGCAGTGAATGGTGCTTTTGTACAAAATTTCAGTTTTGGCGCGACCAGACTGCATCATCATACGCCTACGTACTGTGTCAAATGGATAAGATACAATACCCGCGACAGTTGTGACAGCCTGTACAAAATATTACAGAAAATGTTAATAAACGAATTACAATTGTATAGCCAAATATTCGGTAGAAATTACTTACCTGAGCAATACCCCACGAAACAAGGAATGGTGTCTTTTTGGGATCCGGCAGCATACCACGGGCGGTGTCGTAGAAACCGAAGTAGGCAGCACGATAGATGATGATACCCTGGACGGATACACCGAATCCACGATAAAGACCAGAAATACCATCAGATTTGAAAATTTTGGATAAGCAGTTTCCAAGACCAGAGAATTCACGTTCACCTCCAGCTTTGCCTACATCAGCAGCCAACCTATAAGTAATAATTGAGTGTAACTATTTTATAGAAATTTTTCTTAATGGTTCAATTAATAACTGAACATAATGATAGAAGGAATGAGATATATCAGGTACCTGGTTCTGGCAAAGTCAAGTGGGTAGACAAAGCACAGAGATGTAGCACCAGCAGCACCACCAGAGGCCAAGTTTCCAAGGAAATAACGCATAAACTGTGTGTTTTTGTCAACACCTCCAAGAAATACTTGTTTGTACTTGTCCTTGAACGCAAAGTTCAAGGCTTGAGTTGGGAAATATCTAATAACATTAGCTAAGTTACCACGCCAGTAACTCAAGAAGCCTTGTTCCTTTGGAATGCGCACAAAGCAATCAATCATGCCTAGAATATAAAAACATATTTACTGTTTTATTTGATTTTTAACAGCAAAATATATTTTTCATAAATAATAAGTGACAATAGAAGACACTTTTTCATTTCATTCTAAATATATGAATCTTTACATCTGAAAATATCTGATCAGACTATTTCAAAATTCTTGGAACAATATATTTCATGAAATTGTTATATAACAAATCATTAATAGATTCCTATTTTGATTGCTTGCAATATTTTGCATTTTTATCTAAAAAGTATCATTACTAGAGTGAAGATATGTTAATGTTACGAAAAAATCCGAAAATGTACGTTTTTACTAGTATAGCAAAGAAATATCTTCAAGGTCATGGTCACATTACTTAAATATAACTATTTAATATACGTCAATGATGCTACGTTACTAAAAGAAAGTTTATAATAACGCATTGTTCTTTCAATGTTTATTGCAAATCTTAAATTTGAAATAATTACGAACGAAGACCATTCACTAGCAATATAATTTCACACAAATTTTTGGATTTTAATACATTGTTTTCTGTAAGGTCGTAAATGAAACATCAATTATTTTTCATAATTATATTAAATTTTTCATGTAGTATAACGAATTGCATGCTTTCGTAAGCATTATTTCATTTCTTCATTGCTGAAAATCTGAAACTCATTTGTCTTTACTTTGCACTGCAAAAGGCAGCCATATTGGACAGAACAATCATCGATCGGCACACAGAGTACTGCGTAAAGAGCAAAGCCATGCACTGCCATCTGGTAGACGAGTCGGCTTATCAAATATCGACCCACTCGTTTGTCACAAAACCACGACTTCCCATTCAATCGATATTGCAAAAGTTATGTAAGACTTAAAAGTTCATCTTTGTTACATAAAGTAGAAAATTGGAGCTGGATAGTACTAACGTATTACTAGCGAATAGGACCAAACGACATTACATAACGGGAATCTCCATGCTAACCGTCGCGGAGTACCGTAACGGAAACGCTTGGTAGTTTCAGGATGCCGACATGAGTGAAACACTTCAAACTGTCACATGTTTCGAAAATTTTTCTTCTACTACTGTGCACAGTACTTTGTGATACACGTTTTCTGCATGCTTTAACTTTGTAAAATTGCCGATTTCGCTACTTTACTGCAAATTATTAGACAAATATAATTGTTTTATTGAAATGCTCACCCTTGTAACGCTTGTCCTCAGCAATTTGCTTGGAGATGTGCTGTACCTGCAGCAATAGCTTCACACGTTCAATAGGGGCAACCGCTGTTTTTGAGATAGCGGCGGCCATACCACCGGCTATGAAATCCTTGGCGAACGCCACGGGATCCACAAGACCAGACATATTGTATTGGGTTGCTGGTGTGTAAAAACGAATTAACAAAAGAAAGGAGAAATCAACTCCTACGTTTTGGACGCGCGCCGGACGACGAGTGAGCGAGGTAGAGTTCTTCTCGTTGAACGGACCTCCGCTAAGAATAGCTGCGCAGGTCACGTGCAATGTTCTGCGCAGGTTCAATCTTCTGGCACGGCCGCACCTTGGGACCCTGACACTTCATGCACTTCGAATGCGTACTCCGTTCCCGAATTCGTGACCTTCCTTTAGTGTCTTGCGACACTGTACCTTCCTGTCTCTTTTTCACGGTCGCCACGCGTGTATCAACGTGATAAAATGCGTTCACGGTCACGCCTTTCAAAATTAGACGTTTAACCGCGTTTGTGATGCGTTTCCGGTAAAAGAACCTATGAAAATTGTCGCTAGTGTCAAGGTATTCAAAATATGAAACAACTTGGCGGGAATTTCTATGAAACTATGAAAGATGTACTGTATTTCTCTTATTACGTCAATATTACTTCCGCGTTTGATCAATGGAACTAACTGCCAAATACTAAATACACGTAACAAAAGTGAATTATGTTAATATTATTAATATTATTAACATATTTTTATAAAAATAAATTGAAAGATAATTGCAATCTAACATTAAATTGAGAAACTGTAGTTATAGTCATTTTTCCTTACAAAACTTTCATTTACAAATTACTGAACAAATCTTTGCAAGCATGATCGTAGAAAAATCGTGTACATATTTGAAATACCCGCGTTATAGATACATCTTTGTTGGGCTTCGTTTACCAATAGGGTACAATTTGCAATTATTGTACAATTTCATAGAAATAATCAACAACTGTGTTTCTCTGTAGTTCTAATGTGATCATTTTTTAGCGATAATCTTTATAATATATTACCAATAATAATCTCGGTTGATTTCAAATCAAGTATTCTTTATTTATGTATGTTACAAGATAAGGGTTATTAAGTGCAATATCTATAATCAGGGTAAATTGTCTTCATAAAAAGTAGGAAAGGAGTACTATGTCAAGGATAAAAAACTTGACCGAGGTATTTACAACTTAATATGACCATATCCGATTTGAGGCAGACGTTACTATACATATAGTATTCTGCACATACCAATCAATCGTTATCTACAGAAATACCACTGTATTCTGTTCGGTATTGATTGCACGTGCAATGCAAATACATACGTAAGCTGTTCGTTATATCCTCATCGATAATAAACGTTATTGTTAACATTTCTCATATTTCCATTTACCAACATAAATGGAAAATTGTGGTAAGTACAATAACGATACAGTATATGCACGTGTCGTACCGTAATCGCCTTTGGGGTGGTTTCGAGTTTGCGCTGTCTAAGATAGAAGAACGAGATACAAGGTCATTCTCTCATGAAGAAGAAGGTCAACGGGGCGCGACTTGCGTAACCCTGGCGAACAGCCAGTATGTTACGGAACACAACGCCAGAGTTCAATGGAGTAACTTCAAGTAAAGTGTATTTATACACCTTGAAAATACGTACATACGTAGCGGACCTTGTAAAGAATAGACTAATGCTAAAAGTGTCCCTTGTCCACGTCGAATAGTTCTCGTAACGCGTGCAAGTATTTGTTACGAGAATCAATCACATTAGCTAAATCTCAGCCTGTAAACAATAGCATAGGGATAATTAAAATTGTAATACCGTAATTGGCTGTATTTTGTAAAAATTGTTACACATTCGAATAAATTTGCTCTGTGTTTTTCTGAAACGTACAATATGATATTTGTTTGAACATTTAATAGAGCTTTGTTACACATGATGCATTCTATTTTCGATTGAGTGAACAAGGAGAGATTAAGAAAAAAGTAGAGTAAAAAGTACGTACGAGTGATAATGATGATTCATGTCTTTATAACGAGTCAAGCAAAAGCTGCTGCAATATTATTACAATAAGACCTCTAAAAATTTTCTATAAATATTATCATCTATTTCTGTATTGAAATACGTAAAATTATTATCAGACTCCACTGATATATTTTTATTAATTTACTTAGACGTCTAAATTACAACGGGATATTCGACTTTTAACCAGAAGGTGATATCTATGTTCTGATAAGGCATAAATATAAACTTATTCAGCAAATACTTTGCGTTATCAGCAGAAATTTGACTGATTTGTATAATTCGTATTTTTTTTATTAAAGATTAAATATTTCTTTTACCAATACACAAACATTTCAAGAATTAGAGTGTACTTCCTAGGTTGTGAACGATGTTACGTAACGCTTGCCAAATCTATAATACCTATAGGGAAATTAGAATATAAATCGCGACATCTACTGACATCATACCTCGATTGCAATTGGAAAGCTATTAACATTAGATGTACCTATGCGTCATAGAGTTGAATATGTAATAACAACACACGACTGCTAGAGGAAAAGCGTTATATCGAACTTGCAACGTGGAACTCAAGTGTGTAGATTGGATTAAATAACGACCTTGATGACGTAGGCGGCTGTCTGCGCTAGTGCAATAATTGAAGTCATGATGGTCAATGCACCTGAAAGCAGTTAGAAGCAGTTTGATACGTGATAGGAATCCACAGAATCAGTACTGAATGTATACAAAATGAACACGTGTGGGTGATTTACGAGACCAATATAATGGATGGTATAAAATATATTGTATTAATTTTTATTGAAAACTACTGACCGTTTGTTGTTCTGAACTTGCGAGATTGGCATCTACTATCAATTACATAAAAATAAATGTGATTGATATTTCCTGTTGCACAATGCACTTAGCATTGCGATTATATAAAATAAAACTTTTGTACTTTTATATGATCTAAATACAATACAAGGCAAATTTAACTGGATATCATTAACGAACGTTAATAAAACCTTGTACTCTACTAATATACGGCAAAAATATAAAAAATTTCCTCATCTCTGAAATATAAAATTTGTACGTAAATCAAGGTGACTAACTTATAATTAACAGCATATTGAAAGTGCTTCATTGCCAGGGTCGTTTCACTCATAGTTTCACTCTACTGACCGTTTTATTCTATGGTTTCTGCAGTATAGCACAGTATCTGCAGTTGGTATAGAAGAAAAGATCCAATGTCAATCGCTACTAAAATAGATCAAACCGGAAATAATAATAAATTATATACATATATATTTAATGCCTCTATTTCGTAAACTTTAGAATATAATAAAGTTACCAATGTCATTCAATGAGGGTATTAAAAATATATACATTTTAATTAGAAAAGATAGTAATTGCATTGCATAATTACAAACGTTATACTATAAATACATTTAAAAATATGAACAAACAAGAACAAATATGAAAACACATGATAGGATTTTTTAAGAATTTAATAAGTAATTATAAATCTAACACCCTCTAGTGGAGTAATGAAAAGTACGCTAAATGAAGGAACGTGTGGAATATGAAACTGCGAAGAATATATACGAATCAAGCCGGACATTTATGAAACGTCAGACTTAGAATTAAATTACAATTTTACGGCATTTTACGGTAAATAACGCGTATCCCGTTAAAAATTTGTGATTATCTAGTGATTAGCCAACGATGATGAGAGTACAAACGTTATAGTGAAATTTTTGTATTGTTTTATCGTTTTATAGTGATGTCACTCTATATCCCAGGTTATGGCTTCCCGCAATCTATCATTTTTGTTACACTTTAATTAAATAATCCTTATTTTTCATCTATCATGCACAATTATTTTATGCAACTAAAAATTTGGAATATCGAATAATTGTAACAATTGTTTATGACAATACATGGAAATTAAAATATGACTGTCCTATTTTTTAATTGCAACTTTGTGTAAATATTATTGTCAGTAAAAATTATTGTGCAGTAGTATCGCGATACATGATGCCAAGTTAATATTTGAATGAATAGAGTAAACAATAATGTATATATGGTGTATGTATATATATCTCCTTTGCCTCTATGTTTTTTATTTTTAGAAAAAGTAAATATTAAAAGAAGTATCTTACATAACATAGTTCCTTTATTATTTTAGAATGAAAATGCTGTGTATTCACAATATGACATTAGTATGTATTAATGTTGCCTGAAAGTAAGGCACACATAAACATTATGACTGAAGGTTAGTAAATATGTTTATAGTCTATTGTTATTTTTGAAGTTTAATTTGTGGCATTTATTTTATACTTGAAT